AACCTTACAACATCACAACACTATACTTCACTCCCACTCCATGTTTTGTGCCTTCATAGTCATAAACTTTCTCTTTGTTAAGAATGTCACAATTCACTGTTCGTATTTTTGTTTTAAACTATCAAAACTATCTTTTATATTTAGCATTTCCTGTGCTTGTCATTTCTCTCTGCAGATGGTTCTATTCTGGTATCATTTTCCTTCAGCCTGAAGAATTTCCTTTATCATTTCCTGCAGTGCAGTATAGAAGTAATAAATCCTCTCTACTTTTGTTTATCTTATCTCAAAATGTATTTATTTCACTTTCAATTTGAAAGATACTTTAGATGAATACACAAAGTTGAAACTGTTTTATCGGTCAGCCTTTTAAAGATGCTATTCTATTGTCTTCTGGCTTGAACTGTTTCTAACAGGAAGTCAGAAGTATACTTATCATTGTTCCTCACAAATAATACGTCTTTTTTTCCTCTGGCTCCTTAAGATTTTTTCTCTATATCATTGGTTTTCAATAATTTGATTTATGGTGTACCTTGGTATGGTTTTTCTTGTAGTGGTTTATTTAGCTTTTGGGGTCTCTGGGTTCATGTTTTCCACACACATTTGAAAAAAAAATATTTTACATCTCCAAATTTTTTATGCCTCAATCTCACTGTGACACTCCAGTTATACCTATATTAGAATGCTTAACAGTATCTGACAATTCATCTAGACTCTTGTCACCTTTTCTCCAGCTTTCAATTTTTTCCTACATGTGCTTCACTTTGGACAGTTTCTGTTGTCCTCTCTTCAAGTTGACTGATCTCTCTCCCTCTAGAATGTCCCACTGGCAGTTAAGTCCATCCAGTGAGTTTTGCATTTCAGACACTGTACTTCTCAGGTCTAGACTTCTCATTTTGAAAAATTTCTAATTTTTTCTCTCAATATAATGTTTTCCTTTAAGTCCTCAAACACATTTTAAATAGCTGTTTTAAAGACCATATTTGCTAATTCTGTAAACTCTGTCGTTTGTTTAAGTCTGTTTCTATCGACAGATTTTTTTCTCTAGTTGTGGTTCCTATTTTCCTACTGCTTCACCTATTTGTTATTTATTTGCATGCTCAGCATTATAAATGCTATAGTACACTGTTGATTGTATTTGTCGTGATACTTACAAGTGCTAAGCTTCATTCTGGAAGGCAGGTAATTTAGTACAGATCCATGTGATCTTGCAGAAGTTTGTTTTTAAGCTTTATTAGTGTGAGTCTAAAGTAGCCTTTACTGTAGGACAGAATAAGCACACTTTTAAGGCTTGGACTGATCAAGGTCTCTAAAGCACTGTGTGAGCTCCAGTTATTTTTCAGCTCACAGGCTTCCAGTAATTGCTATTTCTCTGGTAGTCTCACCCTGCCACCACTCCCAAATTGGCTTTATTTTTGTTTATACATGTATTCCTGAGAGTTAAAGACAGGTGGCTTAAAAGAAGGCAGTTAAATAAAAGAGAAGAAAATTAAGTAGTTCTCTTTAAAGATATCTGCTCTATTTCTAGTATATATAATGGAGAAAGATTCCTGAATAAAGAATTCTCAAAGCATATCCACTTTCCTACATGCTCACTTTAGGAAGCATCTATAGTCCTTTTATTTCTTACTCACAGAAATAATTCTGATTCAATAAAAAGACATTGAGAGTTCTTTATAAATATGCATAATTGTGGTTTCTGTAGTCCAACCTCTATTTTTATATCATTTAAAGGTGAAAACTGGACTTTGGGATTGAAAAAAGAACAAAGTCCTTCTAATTCATCAAAAGGAAGGAAGCAAGTATTATTTAAAACTATTTTCATATTCTATTCCTTTCTTCATTTTCTATATAACCTTGCTTCCTGGCTACTTAAACTTCTTCAATAATTTATTCCAAGGCTGAGGTGCTTAATCAAAGTCTCCTCTGAAAGGCAGTCAAACTATCAGGAAGAAAAAAGGAGACAAGAATGATAGGTGTCCCAGAGGTACTGCAACCACAGAGACAAACAGTTCAGGCAAACAAAACAAAATGAGGTATGAATAAAAGAAAGTTTTACATTTCAAAGCTCTATTTCAAAGAAACAATCGACATTTTAAATACAATGTGAATAGAAAGAAACTGAGAACATAAAGATAAGAAATTATTTTTGCTTAAAAATGAATTACCATTTTGAAAAGGTTCAAAATTTAACTAAATGAAAGTTATCTATTATGTCAAATGCTTTATAAATAAAAGTAAATATACACTATGCCTATACAGTAGCAGAAATAAGAACACAAATTATTTCTGAGAGTAAGAACCTGTCATCAATCAAGAAAAGGGAGAAAAAGTAGAGTTAGAAAATCTGCTTTAATGTTGAATCTTAAATGTGTAAAATGCTTTACATTTTCATAGCAACTTGATTTTTAAAGTAAGTAGCCAAATTGATACCATAATTTCTTTTCTTCTAAAAAAAACTCTGAAAATATATTCATAGGTTACATTTAATTTTAGAATACTTTGCAAAAAAACATTTTAGAAATTGGCCGAATTAAAAAAGAGGTAAATAGGTACTGAACAATTTCTAATTCTTAGTTGTACTTTTATTTTTTACATAAACCATATGCATATCTCAATTTTTAAATGCCATTATAATTAGTATGAATTTATAACAGGATGACAGGTACATACTATAAAACCAAAACACTAAATTAAAAGTTTATTTTCTTAAGTAATGTACCAAAAACTATACTCATTTGACTTTATTAATAAAATAACAAAATTAAATTATCACTGTTAAACAATGGAATAAAAGTAAGTGGAAAGTTGAAATATGTTTTCAGTAACAGAACACAAACATTTGAAATGTTATTTAATCTTTAGAAAACCTGGTAAGTCCTCAGAGATTATGAATTCAGACAAATCCATATAATTCAGTTAACTTTATTTTTAAATTGTCACTAAGATTAAGAAAGGAAAAAAAAATCTATTAAGAGGTTATCCCTGAGCCCAAGGACATGTACTTATAAATAAATATCTCCAAACTGCCCTCTAAAAGGAATGTACTGATTTATACTCTCACCAGCAGAGTATATAAAAATGCCCATTTTCTCAGAGCATTCAATTAGAATATGACAACAAATTTTTTTTCAGTCATCTGATAGGCAGAAATTCTCACTGATGTTTTAATTTGCATGTTTTGATAATTATCATCTTCTCATAGATTTATTTGCCACTTACATTTCTTCTGTCAGCTGTCCAAATAGTGCATATTTGGTACTGATTTGTGGGATCTCATTCTCTATTAAGGATAATATATTAAGGATAATTGGTCTGTTACATAATTTGCAAATATTTTTCACATTATTGTTATATTTTAACTTTGTTTATATTGGCTTTTTCTGTAAAAACTTTAAAGTGTTATATATAATCTGTCCATTTTTTCCTTTATGGCATCTGGACCATATGTCATCCTTTAAATATATTAAAATTTCCCCTCAATCATTATACAGTCAGACCCTAGTATCCGAGGGGGGTAGGTTCCAGGATCCCCTCAGATATCAAAATCCGAAGATGCTCAAATCCCTTATATAAAATGGCATAGTATTTGCATATAAGCTTCGCACACTCTCCCATATACTTTAAATCATCTCTAGATTAATTATAATACCTGATACAATGTAAATGCTACGCAAATAGTTGTCCATGTGCAGCAAATTTACATTCTGCTTTTTAAAACTTTCCAGAATTTTTTTTGGCAAATATTTTTAATATGCAGTTGGCTGAATACATGGACATGGAACCTGCAGATATGGAGGGCTGAGTGTATTATGAAAAGAATAATGGTATGTTTTATATTTCGTGATGCTCCAAACAACTCAACATTTAAATATTAATTACTGAAACATGTGGTTAAATATAAAAGAACTCCAGGTATTTAGTTAAAAAATTAAATAATTTGGAAAACACACAATTTGCATCACAGCATAATAAAATTTGTTCTATAATCTCTCAGCTCTTTATATTTCTGGTTATACTGATAGTATGATTATCTTTTAAGACAATAAAATATAAAAGCCAAAGAAAAATTAAAATGATTTATGCTGGCCACACTTAATATGGGAATTTCCTAACTCCAAAAATGGCCCATCCCATTTCCAGTCAATTCTAATTAATATAAAAATTCTTTCTCATGCTGAGCCAAAAGCCACCTCCCTGCTCTATGTACTGCTCTCCAGAACAACAGAAAATAAGCAGACCACCTCTGTGCCAATACATCCTTTCAGACAACTGGAGCATTTTTTCCAAGTTTGACAGTTCTTTATCATGCTTTTTAATATAAATGTTTGTTTATGTGTGTAATTGACATGTCATTATAATTCCATGAAGACAGTCAAAATGTCTTTAAATCTTATTCCCTAGTGCCTGATACACAGAAAGCACTTGACATACTAGTGGAAAAAATGTACAGATTTCTAATTTCCTACTTGGGAACAATTTTGTCAATATTTTTCTTAACAAATCACACAGTATAATCTCTTACTTTCTTCTAATTTGTAATATTCTAATATTTTAATGTGCAGTTCTTTGTCTCGAACACATTCCTGATAAATACGTGATACTGAACAATTTTATAATATATCTACAGGAACTGCTTAGGTCCAAAATAGTCTATACAGTAGGTCACCTATGTTACACAATGAATATATTGATCTTTCATGACATACTCAATGCCATTTTAACGTGTGTTAGTTTGGTATTATAACTATGATCCAATTATACAATTCATATTATTTTTAAAAATCATTCACTAAAAATAGACATTTTGGAGCTACATACATGTAAAGAATAAGTATGAACAGGATAAGTTCAGATCTCTTAGGGGTGCAGAGAATAAGGTTAAGAACTACAGATCTTCAGTGGCACATCTCCTATTCTTGAAAATAATTTTTTTCTAAGAAATGTGCTTGGTATTAAAAACGTGACTCTTTACCAACTAACTGGGACCAAAAAATACTTACTTCACTGTGGCACTTAGGAGAAAGTTCAGCTGTGGCATTAACAGGTTGTCTGGGGCTGACAGATAGCGATCAAACTGAACCTAAATGAAACAGAGATGCAAAACGCAAAGTGCATACAACCGTTAACAGACAGTCCAGATAATCAGCTCTTTCAAGGAGCAAATCGGAGGAAAACTCCCACATTCCAAATAACGAGTTCTTTGTGATCAAAATGAGTTAGTTCTCACACCTTCTATCTAAAATTCACTGTCAACTCTTTAATGTAGTCAGTATCAGCAATACCGACTTTTAAGATTCCGAATCCAAGCCATTCATCTCAATGTCCCTCATCAAAACTTCTGAGTCATAATACTGAAAGTAAAGTCATGAGATCTCAAGTCTACCTTACTTTCTTAAATCCAATATATTTGTTAATTATTCATCATCTATTCATTCAACTAATACTTATCGAGAGCCTGTTACTGGTAAGGTACCATGTAAGGTAACATGAATATAATGGCGAGCAAAAGAGGACTGTCCCTAGCTTCAGAGAGCTTATGGTCCAGTGAGAGAGGTACAATAATGTAAATAAATACATAATAACAAACTGTTAAACGCTATGAAGGAAAAACAAGGTACTACAAAAGCATAAGTCAGGAGTCCAAGCCTAATCTGGGTGTTTGCCAAAGCATTTCTGAGGAAGGACAATGCAATGAGATCTCAAAGATGAATAGGCATTAGGTTGAGTGTGTGTGTGTTGGGGACACGGATGAAGGCCTAGGTGAGAATGAGAGTGGCTACTAGAGATCAGTTCATGTAGGACTTGTGGGCTCTTCTAAGAGTTTAATTCTTATTGTAAAAGCATTAGGAAACCATTGAAGGAGAGAAATAATCTGATTTAAATTTTAAGAAGCTAAATCTGGCTGCAGCAAGAATGGAAGGGAAGGTTGCAGTAGCAGATGCAAGGTCACCGCAGAGGTAGCACTTTGCAGCATCTTAGACGACAAGGGTAGCGGGTGGAGAGAAGAGGAGATATCTTGAGAGCACTGACGAGCAAAACCATCAAGATTTGGTTAGTGACAGGATGAAAGGGCTGGCTCCCAGATTTTGGATCTATGTAATTTAATTCACAGTATTACCACAGTTTATAACTGAATTCTTTATCCATTTATTTAGTCGTGTGATAACTGCATCCCTTACTAGATCATGTCTACTTTCACTCCAGTTCTTCGCATGGTGCCTAGATAACAGAAGATCCTTGGTTGATAACTGTTGCAATAATAAGTGGATAGGTGCCCTTACACCTTCTGAGTTAAAAACACTTGGAAAAGGACCTGGGGTAGGGGGTGGTGGAGAAGAGTTAGAAGAGTTCCTTCTGGGACATGGTGAACCGATGTGCCTTGGAAGCTTCCAAGGGGGTGTACCAGACAGTTATATACAAAACAATGGATCACACATAAAACTCAATCAAGATTTTGTTCCTTTAGAGAGACTTAAGGTATTCAACTCAATTGTTTTTTAAAGACCAGGCTTACGTAAATCTGCAATGGGGTTTAAATACATTTTGTGGGTTTATACTGTGAACTGGATATGCGTCATTGGGGAAGGAAAAACAGGGAGGAAACACACATTTATTGAGTACTAACTAAGGTTACGGATCCTTGTGCAGAATGATGTCCTGATTTTTTGGGGGTGGGGGGTAAATACCATGAAGTGGAATTACTGGGTAGTATGGTGAGTGTATATTTAACTTTCTAAGAAACTTAACTTTTTTTTTTAACAAATTGAAAATTTATTCATTTTCATTTTTGAAATTAAATCTTTGCATTTCTACAGTTTTTACTGTCATGTTTGACATACAGAAGTAATGACTATTACTTCTATGCATACTGTCTTTTATCATATGTTTAGTTATGATATTTAGTGTTTTTAAAATCTACCTTGTCTAATATCAATTCTGTCAGCTCTGCATTCTTGGCATTTGTAAGGTATCTTGTGGGCCTATTCTTTTATTTTCAGTTAAATTTAGCTCTGTCAGATGATAGCTAGGAAAGCCCTGGCATCAAAAAATTCACCCAAGAGAACTATTTTTTAAAGTCAAACCACTGTGGCAGTGAGAACTGAAACACTTAGGACAGGCAGTAGGTACGGCAGGTAAGAGCACAAGTGCTGGGTTGACAGGGGCTGTCGGGGGATTAAAGAGTCAATACACAAAAAATGCTTGTCATACTCAACATATGTTAATGCTTGGTGTCATTACTCATCGTTGCTGTTATTACTACAAGCAGTGGTATAGTTATAAAGCTTCCAAAGGGGATCATTCTGATGAGGGCTAAATGTCACCCAACTGACAGCCATATACACACATGTGCAGTATATACTTCAGATGTGGAAACACGCTACAGGGTGGCGCTCATGCAGAAAGGGATGTGCAAGCCAGCTCGTTACTTGAAAAGAAGGTAATAACGTGGAGGTTCGGTGAGGATGACACTCAAGAGTAGCATATTATTTTAAGACTGGAATCCAGTTTCAGTTATCATCTCAGGAAGAAGTCAAGAACTACAAGCCAAGGATGACTGACAGCTGGAAGTCTGTAATGCTATATAGCCTAACTGCTTCATGTCTATCATTGCTGGTTCTCCATCAGGTTAGGAGGAAAACTCTGAAACTGAAGAAAACCTAAACAGGAACGATGAACCCCTTAGGGTATGGTGGAATATTACTACAAACGTATGTCTTAGTTAAAGGAATACGTGTGCAATCACTATGCCTGGACCCAATGTGAACACAGCGTATCAAGAGGTAAAGTTATCACTGGGAGAAAATAAGAATAATGTTCCATAAGGAAACCTATATTGAAATGCTTTATTATGTACTTACCATTGCAGCCTTCAGTGCCACAGAATCCAGGTTGGGCAAATTAGCTAAGGAGCCCTAACAAGACAGAAAGA